CGGGGGGCGCCGGGGGGTGCCCCGGGGGGGGCTCCCCGGGCTTGGCCTGGCCCCGGCTGCCGCCCCAGCCCGCCAGCGTGGCCCTGCGCAAGCAGGAGGAGGAGGAGGAGAGCAAGCGGCCGAAGGCCCTGAGCGACAGCTACGAGCTCTCCACCGACCTGCAGGACAAGAAGGTACCCCGGGGACACGCGGTGACGGCCCCCGCCACCCCCCTGCGGCGGTCCCCAGCCCCGTGTGACAGTCCCCGGCCACGTGTGATGGTCCCCGGCCACGTGTGATGGTCACCAACCCCATGCGATGGTCCCCAGCCATGTATGATGGTCCCCGGCCACATGTGACGGTCCCCAGCCCCGTGTGATGGTCCTCAGCCCCGTGTGATGGTTCCCAGCCCCGTGTGATGGTCACCAACCCCATGCATGATGGTCATCAGCCCCATGTGATGGTCCCCAGCCCCGTGCGATGGTCACTGTCCCCGTGCGAGGCCACCGTGCCCCCACCCTGATGCCAACCCCGTTTCCCCGGGTGTTGCCTCACCTGTCCCCTCCTGCCCTGTCCCCTCCCTGTCCCCTCTCCGTCCCCATCTCCACCTCTGGGTCCCCGATGTGTCACCGTGTCCCTGTTGATATCCCCATCCCCGTGTCCCCGTCCATGCCCCAATGTCCTCATCCCTGTCCCCATCCCTGTCCCCATGTCCCCATCCGCGTCCCCATCTCCGTGTCCCCATCCATGCCCCCATGTCCCCATCCTTGTCCCCATGTCCCCATCCCCGTCCCCATCTCCGTGTCTCCATCCCTGTCCCTCCCATCCCCGTCCCCATCTCCGTGTCTCCATCCCTGTCCCTATGTCCTCATCCCTGTCCCCATGTCCCCATCCCCGTCCCCATCTCTGTGTCCCCATCCCCGTCCCCATCTCTGTGTCCCCATCCATGTCCCCACGTCCTCATCCGTGTCCCCATGTCCCCATCCCCGTCCCCATCCCTGTCCCCATGTCCCCATCCCTGTCCCCATCTCCATGTCCCCATCCACGTCCCCATGTCCCCATCCATGTCCCCACGTCCTCATCCCTGTCCCCATGTCCCTATCCCCGTCCCCATCTCCGTGTCCCCATCCACATCCCCACGTCCTCATCCCTGTCCCCATGTCCCCATCCCCCTGT